CGTGGCGGTCCTTGCCAGCCGGCGGCAGTGGGGCGCCTGAGCCCCATCTTGGAGGGCCCGCCCGCGGGACGAGACCCCCGTCGAGGCGGGGAGGCGCTGGGTCAAAACGTATGACCAAGTGCAAAAGTTTATTTAAGAAAAAGTTCTGTATTTCCCGCCTCACTTTCGCGGTCACCTCGCACCGCGTGCTCCGGGAGATGGAGTGGAGCCTTCCTGGGCGTGGCGCCGGTGCTCTGGGGCCTCCTTGCCTCCCCTCACTTTGGGGGGCTCAGGGCCCTCACGGGGGACCCCTGCACATAAGTCAGGATGGCACTTTGCAGGAAGCTTGCCCTCTGGGCCTCCTCGTCCCGGATGCGCGCGATCTCCGCCTCTTTGAGCCGTAGCTTCTCTCGGAGGGATGCGTTCTCGCTCTCCTTGTCCAGCAGCGCTTCCCGGTGGTCACTAGCGATCACTGCAGGCGAGAGAGGCTCGGAGTTGGGGCCCGCCCTGGGCCGAGACTCAGGCCCAACTCAGCCCTCCAGCCGGGAGCACCCTCACCTTTCAGTTGGCGCTCCAGGGCAGCCACCTTCTCCCTCAGCGCCTCCTGGCCCACCAACTCAGCTTGCAGACGACCTATCTGCTCCTGCAGGTCCACCCGGACTCTGCTCACCTCGGCCACCTTCTCCTGATCCTTGCTGCTCAGCTCCTGCGAAGCATGGTGGATGAGACAGAAGTAGGTATGGGCACCCCACAACCTGTGACCCCCCCCAAAGCCCGGCTACCTGCTGCAGCTCCTCCAGGCGGCGCTGCTGCCCCTCCATCTGCAAGCGGAGCTGGCTGGCCCGGGCCTGGGCATCGGCCACCATCTGCTTCTGCTGTGTGCAGACACCCTGAGCCTCATCCCGCGCTTGCGCCAGGAGCCGCAGCTTCTCCTCCATGTGCGCCAGGTGCTGCTGCTGAGGGCACAGAAAGTGATGCACACATGGGTCTCCCCTGGGGCTCACACTAGGGGAGAGCACGTCATCTGCGTGCAGTCACACCACCTGCCAGGAGCCGCAGCTTCTCCTCCATGTGCGCCAGGTGCTGCTGCTGAGGGCACAGAAAGTGATGCACACATGGGTCTCCCCTGGGGCTCACACTAGGGGAGAGCACGTCATCTGCGTGCAGACTGACACCCCCATCAGAAGAAGGATGCCTCGGTGTTGTTCTGAAGCCACTGAACTCTCTAGGGCCTCCAGAAGCACCCCCAGACTGGCTCTACCCATTGCCTGCTGCCTAGGTTCTCCTGTCCAAGCCTCCAACTCCAGGCTGAGATCCAGCCATGGGAATGGCTCTCTCAAAAGGTACTGCAGGGGTCTGTATGCACCTATGGCTGCAGCTCACCTCCTCCAGGCGGGCCTGGTTCCTGGCCTTCATGAGCTCCTCCTCAGCCTGACCACGCTCACTGAGTGCCGCTGCCTTCACCCGGCTCAGTTCCTGCACCACAAATGGCATCTGCTAGCCAGTCCTCCTGCCTCTGACCCCAGGCCTTCGTGGGACACCCAGTAGCCCAGCAGGGGAGACCCTCCACTAGCCTCCCGAGGGCCCTGTGGCTGCCCCACCTCTACTGGGCAAGGATCCCATGGCCCAGGGAGCCTGAAGGCCACCCTAAGCCTCTCTGGACACTGGTGCATGGACCCTCAGGATGAGACCTCATAAGGCTGAGAGCAGGAAGCTATGTTCTGGGGAACCGAGGCCAAGAACAGCAGGAGCTTTCATCCCTTGCTCACCTAGGGCCAGAGCCTGGCCCTTGTCCCTGTGGGCTCACCTCCTCCAGGGACAGCCGCAGGGCCTCCAGCCTGTGCACCCTCTCCTGTGTAGCCTTCTGGCTCTCCTCTAGGTGGCGGGTAATGCATTCCATCTACCCCAGTGTGCATATCAGTCAGGCAGGCAGAGGCTCCCCCAGCTCTCCCCCTGAGGAGTCCCCACCTTGGAAGGCAGGCATCTCTTGGGAAAGGGCTGCCCAAAGGGCCTGGCAGGAACCAAGGATGAAAGGTATGGCTGAGCCCTAGCACCCCAGGACATGCAGCCCGATGGGAGGCCACCAGCGCCTCTTTAGCTGCAGATAAAACAGGCCCCGCTGCCTGCCACCCAGAATAGGCAGCTCTGCCCACTCTGAGTGGAGGAATGAGCAACTTAGGGTGGTGAGGGGACCCCAGGAGGGCATGCTCTGAGAACACTGAATCGCGCCGAGGGCAGTCCACTGGCACACGGGAAGCTGGGATAGATGGTGGCACTAGGAAGGCACCTCCTTGCAGTGCAGCTTCTCAGAGTCCTCCAAGCTCTGCCGGGCCCTCCTCTTCTCCATGTCCAGGCGCTCTGGAGGCCCAGTGGGGAAGAGAAGGGGTGAGTCTTCTCCAGGGGTGTTGTCCCTGAGGGTCCCTGTCCCCTCAGTGGTAGGCCTGCCTCTGGCCTACCCTCAGCCTGGACAGCTCTCATCTTCAGCTCAGCCGATGTGTGGGTCATCTCCTGCCTGGTCAGAAACAGCTGCTCCTGCTGAGACTTCACCTTTCGCTCCAGCTCATCCACCTGGAAAGCAGGCAGCAGGGGAAGAAGCCAGATCAGCCTACTGCTCCCACCCTGGGCATCCTGGGTGGCTGGGCGCACCCCTCCTACCTGGTTTCGAAGCAGCAAGTTCCTTTCATTGGTGACTGACAAGTCCTTGAGGAGCTTAGACTCCCGCTCTGCAGCTTCCTGAGTGGAGATGGACACTTTTAGTCACCCTGCTGCTCCACCCCACAACCTGCCCGCCTGCAGCCCTTCCCCACCTGCTGTCCCAGCGTGTGTTCCTGCTCTGCTGTGGCCAGCAGCTCCCCCAGATCCTGGGCCTTCTGATTGGACAGGGCAAGGGCGGCCTCGGTCATCTGCAGCCTGCAAAAAGGAAGGATTAGCACCTCCATAGCTCCACTGGGGGCGTGACCTGCCATGCCAAGGTTTCCCATTCCACTCCTGCCCCCTCTCCAAATGCTAGCCACAGCTCTCAGCTCCTGCAGAAAGCCTTCCTCTGCCTTTATACCCTCAACCCTGAGGGCACATCTCCAGTCTCTCCATGGGGCTCTGAACCCCCCACCCCAGCTGCTTACTTGGCCTTGAGAGCTTTGATGATGGAGTGCCTCTCATTCAGGGCTTCCTGAAGCTGCCCCACACGAACTGACACTGCTCTGTGGGGAGAAAGGAGAGGCTGGGAACCCCAAGCCCTAGAGCTGTCCAGGGCCTGCCTGGCCTTGACTGGAGCTGCCAAGCACCAAGGTCTCCAGCACACAATGATTGAGCTGGGGAAGTATATGGTATCTGCCTTAACCCTCTAGCCACCTCCTTGAGAAGCCCAGTATGACCATTCCCAAGCAGAGACAAATAAGGCCCAGCCTGGACTGCAGCCCTACCTCCAGAAGTCCTGGGCCCACTTACCGGCTGCTCTTGGCCATCTCTTCTCTCTGCTTATCGATTGTCTCCATCAAATCCATGAACTGGGAACAGAGCCAGCCAAAGCCTTGTCAGGATCCAAGAGCCTGCCCTCCCTGCCCTGGTCAGGAAAGGCGGACAGACTCCCAAGGCAGCCAGGCAGTGAAGGACTCAGCCTCCCTGGTCCCACTGACTCCTTCAAAGTGAGGTGGTCCCTAGAGAGGGGGGGTTAAATCCCACTCTCAGGTCGGGCCAGGAGAAACCCTGGTCCTGGGTATTAGCAGCTCAGAGGAGCTACGGGGTCTGGGGGAAGAGAAGATGGGTAGCCATGGGGGTGGGAGAGGGAGAAGCCAGCTGGCCTACACCCATGGAGCCAGGGTGGGCTGGGAGAAGCTCCAAGGTCTGAGACGATGCCATGCTTACTTGCTTGGACTTTTCCTCCTGGAGGTGCTGGACCTCCCTGCTGAGGATATGAGTCCGGGCCTGGTTCTTCTGGAAGGCAGCATGCTGGTCCTGGTTGTGGTTCATGGCTTGTTCTGTCGGGAGACAGGTGACTGGGTGGGGACCGCTCAGACTATGGAGCCCAATGGCCCACCCTGCCCTGACAGGCTGTACTGGAAGCCGAAACCAACCATTTTCTCCAATAAGTCTGGTCCCCTGCCTCCAGGGCGCTACAGGTACAGTGCTTCAGTGGGGCAGGGGCTGAGAGCGTGAGGGTCGCAGTGTGTGGAGGCTCATACTCGTTGGGGGAGGGCTCCTCTGTCACAGGGATGGGAACCATTTGGTGGCCTCTGTCCCCCACCCCACAGGTCGAGGGCTGCTGCATGAGTTTAACAGGAAGATGCTGTGTTCTAGAAAGAGCCAGGTGGCTGCAATCGGAAGCACAACAGTTTGCCTATGCTGAGGAGGGCTGGGGACAGCAAGAAGTTGGAGATGACAGAGGGTCGGGCAGACACCTCAGGAGGCAGTGACCCCACAGCACAGGGGGAGTGGAAGAGGTTAGGGTGAGGCCCAAGCTCAGCCTTCACTGGCTTGCACTGTGGGCTGGATGAGCCAGGAGGTGTGAATCTGATGAGCCTGAGACTACAATATCATCTATAGGACTTGGGGGTCACCAGAGGCAGGGGAACGTGGAGACTGTAGCTCTGGCAGAAGCAGCACAGGCCAGGCAGCTCCTCACCCACAAATGTAGGGGTGACCAAGAGCTACCTGAGGCATCAGCACAGCCATCCAGGGTAGGGCTCAAGCCATATAGGGCCTCAGCCTGTCTGTGAAAGGGGTGATCCCCCTTCTACATGGGTCCTACGAACTGAGCAAGCACAAGCAAGCCCTCTACCAGGCAGCACTAGGCAGTGAGCGCCCAGCTTGGTGTTCGCCTTCAGCTCTCCCTCTTGGCCCTCGCCCAGGTGAGCTTACCTGTCCTGAGCCCTGGGCTAACCCCTCCCTTGCTGAACAGGCCACTGTTCAAGGGCTCCTGACCTCCCTCCTGAATGTGAGCCCCATACCCACAGCTCTGAGGACATCACTGGGGACACTGTTCCCAGCCAGGTCCAGCTTCCACAGGGTCCGGTTACTGGGTAGACAGTTCACCAGGGACCTGCCTCCCAGGAGGCCAATGTTATTCCAGCGCAAGTCTAGAAGAAAACCTGTTGTCACCTGACAGAAGGCATCGGTGAGTCGGGGGGAGGGGCTGGCCTAGGTATGATGATTCCTTTGGGAGGCTACCAACAAAGCAGGTTCCCAGGCTAGCCCCTCCTGCAGCAGAGGGATAAGGAGCAATGGATACAGCCCAGAGCCAGGCCTCACCCAACTGCTGGAGGGTGGTGTTGCCCTGCAGGGCCAGGGCCAGCTCCTCTGCACCTTTGTGACTGATCTGGTTGTTTCGGAGGTCCAGCTGCCGCAGAGCACTGTTGCCTGCCAGGCCCCTACAGAAGGTGGCGAAGGCATCTTCCCATGTGCCCAGGTTGTTCCACTCCAGGGTGAGGCTGCAGCAGGGTGGAGACAAGGTGCTTGGCCTGGAAGGGTGACCTACCCGTTGGGGTCCCCAGTGTATGTGTGGGATGGGTTCAGGGATCTCTGGCAGAGTTGAGCCTCTGAGTGATTTCCACCCACTTACTCCAAGAAACACATGTAAAACATGGACAACTGGCCTGAAGGGGCAAATGGGCCACAGGACCACTCTGGGGTTCACCCTGACACAGATAAGGGATGGGAAGGGTAGTGCATCAGGGACCACAGCCTACCTCTGAACAGACTGGTTCTGTCGGAGGAGTTTTCCCAGAGCCTCGGCCCCTGCAGCCCGAAGGTTATTGCCCTGGATAGAAATGGCCTGGCCAGTCACTCCTGTCAACCTGGCTGGGCTCTGAATAGCAAGTGTGCTCCATGGTGCCCTGGTCAGGCAGTGGACGAGGCCAGAGAGGTGAGCTCTTGGCAAAAGTGTGCTCACCTTAGTTTTAGTAAACCTGGTGGGTATCCTGAGACCAATCTGTATTTAAGTGAACACCTGCCCTCAAAACACACAGCAATACGGAGGTCCTGGGACCCCATGTCCCCTCTAAATCCTGCAGAACAGGCCTGCTCACCTTCAGATCCAGAAGCCGCACCACAGTGTTGGCACACAGCCCTTGAAGCAGCAGTGGGGCCCCTGAGTGAGGATGTGTGTGTGGTTGGTTACTCTGCCTCTGTGCCCAGGGCCCACCCTGGGGACCCATTGCAAGGCAACTCCCAAAGGGACAACGGTCTGGGTGCCCCAGTGCTCTGTGTTCACACTGGAAACGAGTTTCCCAATCAGTTCTAGGTTTACTTTAGAAACACCTGCAGCCCTGCCTGACATAGAGCCGGCCGCTTTGACCTCTCTTGAGCCAGAATTCTCAAACTACAACTTAGAGGATGTTAGGTTTTCCCCTCCCTTATAGAAAAACTGCCCCTATGTCTATTTTTTAGGGGACACTAGTATAGCAAGAGGGGAGGAAGCAATCAGGTGGCACAAAATTCCTACTGTCAGCTTGGAAGGCTAAACGATGCCAGGGAACCCACTCTAATCTAGCCCCAAACAAAAGGTGGAGCCCAAGCCTGGAGCTGTCGAGGTGCCCTCGTGCCCACCTTCATCGCTCAGCATGCAGTCGCTGAGGACCAGCTCCGTCCACACTGTCTGGGTCTGCAGCAGCTTGCCCAAGGCCCTGCAGGTGTCCACCGTCAGGCTCTGCCCCGCCAGATCCAGTCGGCCCTGCGGGGGTTGGTGCAGTTGCCGCAAGACCACTTCCTGCGGCTCTGCCCCGCTCTCCTTGCACAGGTGACTGTAGGACAGTCGGAGCTCCTCCATGTCCCCGAGTGCAGGGGACCTCGCCCGCATGCTTCTGTACAGGCTCCCCGTTGGACCAGCGTCGGAGGCAGACGGGGGGCGAGCGGCACGGGCCTTAAGGGGGAACCTAGGAGGACAGAACAGGACCGTGAGACTACAGCAGGGGAGGAGTTCCCGAGGGGTAGGGAAAGTCAAGGAGTGGGGACCGCTGGCCCGAATCAGGGACCGCGTCGCACTACCGCGAGCCCAACCAGCGCGCGGGCCGCCGCCACACTAAGAGGCTCCGCGAGCCTCAGTAACCAGGAAGAGCGGGGACCGCTGGGAAGAGCGGATGGGACTCTAAATCCCAGGAGACGCTGAGATCTAGCCGCGGACCAATGAGAGCGAAGGGTTGGACTACGGTAGCCGGACCCATCGCAGGAATAGAAAAAGCAGAGCCATTTGGCTTGATGGATGGGAGAGGCGGGAGCGGGTCTCCGGGACCTCGCTCTCTGGTTCATTGGCTGGGAGCTCGGGGCGGGACTCCCCGTCATGTCCTGTGTTCATTGGCTGGAGCTGGAGTCGTGGTCACGGGAGCCCGCGTTCCATGCTCATTGGCTGAGACGCAGAGGCGGGGCTACGCGGAAGGCGAACGGAGACAGCGGTTATGGAGAACTCCAACGCCGGATTCCGGAAGGTGAGGGTTGGTGGAGGGCGCTAAGTGAGCGCGGACCCTGCCCTCTTCACGTGACACCGGTGCGTGCCCGATGCTAGCCCCGTGCTGCCTGCCCATGCCTCCGAGGGTGGGATCCCGCTGCCTGGTGGTGCTCGGGCAGAGCAGCCCTGTCTGCAGCTGGACCGAAGTCGTCCGCAGAGGCGGACGGACCGCGAAAAGCGGGAAAGCTTTAGGCCCGCCCACAGGCCGGCGCTGCCAATCAGGGCCGGGGGCGTGGCTCCGGCCGGGACTTCACTGCACTGCGGAGGAGCCAGGCAGGCAAGCTGGAATCCACACCCCGTACGGCTTAAGTCCTTTTGCCTTTCATCGGAAGGTTAGGAGGCGCCGAGCATCCTTCAATTCAAGATTGCAGGAGGGCCTCTACTGCCGGGGGAAGGAGGGAGGTCGCGCTGCGCCTGTCGCGGGAGGAAGCAGGGTCACCGACGGCGGAGAGGCCATTGCTAGGGGGGGTGCCTGCCCGAGTGGGGCACAGACCAAGCCTGCCTGGACACCTCGAGTGCCGAGGGCTCGGGCCCGAGCTGGTGAGGGTGCCGGAAGGGAGGGGCGTGCAGCCTTAGCCGAAGCCTGCTCGGCGCGGGCCGCACTTGGCGCGCGTCCCAGTCCTCCGGGA